TGGAGTAGGGACTCTAGATATGCAATGGGTTACTTGATTCACTCTAGTTCTGAAGAGTTTGCTTAATCCGATATGCCAGAATTTATTCACGAGAAATCTCTAATTTATATATAGGACAAGTAGAGTCGTATCCTCAGGTACTGGGAGAAATTCGTTCCTTTTTAAGTCAAAGCAAACGAGAGGTTTGAGAATTTAATACTAATGAATTGTTAACTAAATTAATCAACTGCGAAAAATAATTAATAGAGAGAAATAATTGGAAAAACTCTAACCAAAGATACACTTCAGAGATGGTTCATGTAACTGATCATCGATTCACAAATAAATCCAATATTCATTAATAAGTAAGTTTTTAACTGCCGATACGATCTGACAGTCAGTCTCTCCTTATTGTTCCGATAGTGAAGGTAAGACTATTGACTATTTCCTTAATTTAAGAATAACCCTACGTACGACCATAAGATTTAATTCCCAATTATATTAGAAACGAGAGAAACCCTACTCTAATCAATAAACACGCTACGAGAGTTTATTTAAATTAGATTGTATATTTCCCTGACACAAATCTAATTATGCTAGTTGCTACCGGGATCAAAGTAATCAAACAAATCAAACAATTAGCAAATAGACTACGTGAATAATCAAATATTACACAACTATTCAATCATACACAATAGCTATAATCACTAAAACCAGAAAACATACAAATACCAATGAATGAAGGAAGCAATTAAAATAATTTAGATCTCACAATTATTGTCGAACCATATCTTCAGTTGTCTCCTTGACTAGAAGTATGAAATTAGTTCTCCATCAATAGAGAACCGTCCATGCAAATAATTGGGAAAAGCTTTCAATTGTTGTCTACCCAAAAATCGGCCAGTTAGGGAAAAAAAGTAAAACAAGGGTAACTACTGCTTTTTCGTCTCTAGCCACAAAGATGATCATCTAAGATCTGCCGAAAATCCCCCCAAAAATCCTTTGCCAATCTCTATTTTTTAGGAATAAATTAACTAATTTGAAGGAATGGTTTCCTATTACAAGTCAACTTCTTTAACCTTTCCTTTTTCTTGAGGATGACGTGGACTACCCAAAAAGGTAGGAAATCTTCATCAGCAGTCAATTGTTTTGAAATTTGATTTGGACTAGAAAACTACCTAAACTCCTTCCCGATCTTACGGCCCACGTGCAAATCATTAGGAACTCTTAATTTAAGCACTTCCCGTTCCAATTCTTGAAATTAACACAAAATACTAATTGTGAGTAGAATCAATCAAGTAATACAATATTTGGCTAAAATCAAAGAGAAAATAATAATAAATTTAGCAATAAATTATGATCTATCAATTTTTTTCACACTTAAACCATGCTTGTCCTCAAGCATGAGAACATAAATCAAGAAATCAAATTCCAACAGTGACTATTACTCGAATCATCTATTGCTAAGATACAATTAAAACATATGTCAAGTATTAATAGCTATTTTCAAGAAATATCACTCCAGTTAGTTTTCAAGATCAAGCACTTTCAATTTATGACTAACTAATTTAAAAATATAAAATATTCAACTAGTATCTATCAGCAAATGGTTCGATTATTAAGCAAAATTTCAACATTAAAATTCATGGATCAGTAGGCTAACAATTCATTCAAACACTTCCACATTTTTCACTATTAGCACATTTTTTTTTGTTTTCTAAAATATCTCCACACTTGATTGATTTTTTTTTCAGGGGGAATGCTTAGTCTTTAGCCATTTAAACGTTTTGACTCAAATTCCGACATTTACCAAATGAAGGAACCTAGTTACTCATCCATTATCACATAAAAATCACATACTTACAGCTATCATCGCTTTTTGATGCGAAAAATCGACACTCGTGGTGAAAACTTTCGGTTACTAGGCAACAATACTAATGGAGTATAACTGAATACGATTCATAAATAAACATCAAATTAAAATTAAAAGTCACAAAAATCACGTCATTTCTTAAATATAGAGAATTAAGAATAATAGTTGAATCAATTTACATAAAAAATGCTGGACAAATATTTACAATACTTAGATAAGTTAATCAAAAAGTACAAAAGTCACAAAATCTCAAATATTCATCAAAAAGATACTATTAACTTAATCAAGTCATACTTAACACTTTAGAGTGTAAAATCTTAGCAATAGAAAAATTTGAGACATCTAACCATCATTTATCAGGAACAATCACAAATATGCAGAAAAATAGGCAAAAAATGGATAAAATTCGATAAAGTCAAACAAAAAATTTCAACAAAAACGCCTGCACTTGCACTTTTTCAATATATTATTAATATACTACTCCCCCCACACCTAAATCTGACATTGTTACTAATGTAAAAGATAAAGAATAGAATACGAAACAAAAGGGACAACGAAACTTTACTGAGCACGTAATGGAGAGTCTCAAGCAGCTAAGGCATAGGTGGGAATGGTGGTGTGAAACCAATATGGTGGACCTCCACTGCCCCCAAATCAAAATCGAAGATGCCAACAGATAGCGAAAACGAAGATGGTCATGGGTGGTAGTTAGCGGCGGCAACATGGTGTGGTAGTAATGGTGACGAGCAGAAACGTCGCAAGCAACGGCGATGGCATGAGAGTGGTGATTAGCAGCCGCATACATCTACTGAGAGAGGGAAAGATAGCAGTGGCAGCAGGAAAGGAAGAAAAGGGAAGGAAGAAGAGAACGAAAAAGAAAGAAAAAGAGTAGGGCAATCGTGGGGGGTTTTTTTTTTTTAACCACTGTGCTAGGCATGGGCACATCTAACTGCCTTCGGGTCTTCTGACCAACCCTCCAAAATTAACTTTCTTAAGCGTGACCACCTAACGTGGGCACGCCTAACTATTAGAGAGTATTCTGGCTAATTTTGGAAAATTGAGTTCCAAGTGGTCACGCCTAACTAATAGAGAGTCTTCTGACCAATTTTGGGAAATTGAGTTCCTTAAGTGTGGGTATGCCTAACTAATAGAGAGTCTTCTAGTTGCCAAATTTAAAACTCTTTTCCTTAGGCGTGACCACTAGACGCAGACACGCCTAACTGCCAGTTTCCTGCCACAAAAGCAACAAATTACTAAATGCAACTAACACTTAACAAAAACTCCAGAAATATAATAAAACTAAAACAAAGAGCCTTGGGTTGCCTCTCAAGCAGTGCCTTCTTTTAACGTCTTTGAGTAGACGTCAAGCATCACTTCTCAATCTGGATATAATTCAAATTTTCTTGCAATCGGTGACATTCCTCGAAGATCCAAATAGCTATTGAGTGCAACCATCTTTTTTAATTTTCTACTCATTTTCAGCTCATAAATTGCTTTCATCCCATGATACTTGTTCGCAGCAAATTTGCATTTATCCCTATAATCAAACTCAGAAAATTCTTATATAAAAATATTAGTAGCATGAATGATAAACACAGAATGAGAGTTAATAGGATATTTCATTGTATAAAAAATATTAAAGTGGACTATTTCTCTATCAAATTTCATTGTGAGAGTACCCTTATTAACATCAATCTTAGTTTAGCAGTACTCAAGAAGGGCCTTCCTAATATAATAGGTAATGGATTTGAAACACTTCTATCATCTATATAAAGCACATAAAAATCAGTAGGAAAAATTAATCCATCTACTTGTACTTAAACATTCTCAATTACCCCATCCGGATAAGCAAATGTACGATCAACTAATTGAATTATTATCTCTGTTTCTTTTAAAGGTTCTAAATTTAGGGAATCATAAATTGATTTAGACATCACGTTAATAGAAATCCCTAAATCTAGCATTGCATCTCTAATCTTAGTATTCCCTATTCCACATGAGATTGAAAACATATCTGGGTCTCCATATTTTGGAGGTAACTTCCTTTGCAACACTGCTGATACGTTCTCCTCCACCACAACTCGTTCATCTCCCCTCAACTTTTTTTTAATTAATGCACAAGTCCTTCAAGAACTTGGCGTACTTGGAAACCTGCTTGATTGAATCCAATAAAGGGATGTTGATTTGTACCTTTCGAAATACCTCTAAGATCTCTTTTTCCTTCTTTTGCTTCCTTGGCTTCTCCAACCTGCTAGGAAAAGATGGAGTGCTAGACTTATGATTCACAAGAGAGTTAGATATTACCTTGGGATTTGAATTTTTCCCTCCTTCCTCAAGTTCCTTTCTATTTGCTCCTCACTCTTATCTTTAGGGACTATTGGCCGGGGCTCTTCAACTTCTTTACTGCTTCTCAAGATCATGGCACTCACGTTCTTTGGATTTGCTTCGGATTGAGATGGCAACTTCCTAAAAACGTGAGACTCTAGACGGTTGATTGCAGTTGCTATGTGGTTTATCTGATTTTTCAGATTTTTCATGCCAAACCTTCTCTCCTGTTAGAATTGAGCAGTACTTTGCTGGAGTTGGGTGGTACTTTCGGCCAAATTCTTGACCAACTCTTAGAAGGAGCTTCCTCCATTTGAGAGTGATTAATGGACCTTCAGCTAATATTGGGGCTGGAACCCTGGTAGCCTATTTGAACCAAAATTTTGTTGACGATTCCCTCCATAACTAAAGTTCGGATGATTCCTCCAACTCGAGTTGTAGGTATTAGAGTATGGATCATATTGCCTCCTTGGCGCGGGCACGTTACCAGTCATGTTGACTTGTTCAGGGCTCTCCTCTTGAAGCATTGGGCATATATCAGTAGCATGTTCCGTGTTGGTATAGATCCCACCAACCTTAACTTATTGTATATTTCCTACAGCCAATTGGCGGACAATTAAAGTTAGCTCTGACAACCGCTGCTGAATAGATGAACTTTTCACCTCATTCAGTTCATGAGTGGGGACATTATTTCTGGGGCCAAATTGTTGTGAGTTCTAGGCCATTTTCTCAATCAACTTCCATGCCTCTCCAGGGGTTTTATTCACCAGTGCCCCATCACTTGCGGCGTTAATGATGTTCTTGTCAGACCAACTGGACACTTATCTGATATTGGGGACATCTAATACACAATTTGTTGAACCACTCCCAATATTCAAATAAGGTCTCCCTTAGCTACTGTTTAATGTCACATATCTCTTTTCTCAAGTTAGCAGCTCGGGAAGCAGGAAAGTACTTCTCAAAAAAAAAATTCTTCAGTTGCACCCAGGTGGTAATACTACATGCCAGTAAGTAGTACAACTAATCCTTGTCCAAGTTCTTAAGAGAGAAAGAAAATGCTCTCAATTTAATCTGCTCTTCAGTCACCCCAGAAGGTTTCGTACTTGAGCACACTACTTCAAATTCTTGTAGTGAAAAGAAGGTAAGAGATGAATTAATCCAGATTTTAACTCAAAAGAGATATTTTCATTCAAATTAGAGAATGTAATGCAAAGTGGCTGCTGAGTTAAGTCAGGAGCAGCCAACTCTCTTAGTGTTCTGTTATTTGCCATCATATACTCTTCTTGTTCTGAATCGCTTGCAGTAGATGATTGTTCCTCTTTGTATTTCTTGGTCTCTTGTCTTCGCCTACGTGTTGCCTTCTCAACCTCAAAGTCGTATATTAATTCACCTGTGCGGGAAGAACGAGACATACATTAGCAAAAATACTATAAAAATAAAAATAAACTAAAAAAGAAACAAATAATTCAGGCACCAGTTCCGGTAACAGCGCCAAAAATTGACAGGTGTCTAGTCTGTGCAATAATAATAATAATAATAATCCTAAGTGCCAACAAAGTAGTTCCGTGTTAATTATAGTACTGGAGCAGGGACTCTAGATTTATAATGAGTTACTTGATTCAACCTGATTTCGAAGAGTTTGGTTAATCCGATATATCAGAATTTATTCACGAGAAATCTCTAATTTGTATATAAGGCAAGTAGGGTCGTATTCTCAGGAATTGGAGAAATTCGTTCATTTTTAAGTCAAAGCAAATAGGAGGTTTGAGAATTTAACGCTAATGAATTATTAACTAAATTAATGAACTGCAAAAAATAATTAATCGCAAGAAATAATTGAAAAAACTCTAACCAAGGATGCACTTTAGAAATGATTCATACAACTGATCATCGATTCACAAATAGATACAACATTCATTAATAAGTAGGTTTTTAACTGTTGATACCATCTGACAGCCAGTCTCTTCTTACTATTTCGATAGTCAAGATACAACCATTGACTATTTATCTAATTTAATAATAATCCTAGGTACGACCATAGGATTTAATTCGCCAATTGTATTAAAAACCAGAGAAACCCTACTCTAATCAATAAACACGCTACGAGGGTTTATTTATATTAGATTGTACGTTTCCCTGATATAAATCTAATTATGCCAGTTGCTACCGGGATGAGAGTATTCAAACAATTACGGATTCAACTACCCTTAATTAGCAAATAGACTACGTGAATAATCAAATATTGTGCAACTATTCAATCATACACAATAGTTATAATCACTAAAAATAGAAAATATACAAATACCAATGAATGAAGGAAGCAATTAAAATAATTTAGATCTTACAGTTATTATCGAACCAAATCTTTAGTTGTCCATTTGACTAGAAGTATGAAATTAGTTCTCCATTAATGGAGAACCATCCATGCAAATACTTGGGAAAAGCTTTCAATTGTTGTCTCCCCAAAAATTAGCCAACTAAGGAAAATAAGTGAAACAAGGGTAACTACTGCTTTTTCGTCTCTAACCTCAAAGATGATCATCTAAGGTCTGCCGAAAATCCCCCTAGAAATTCTCTGCCCAATCCCTATTTTCTAGGAATAAGTTAACTAATTTGAAGGGATGGTTTCTTATTACAACTCAACTCCTTCAAGCTTTCCTTTTTCTTGAGGATGACATGGACTGCCCAAAAAGGTACGAAATCTCCATTAGCAATCAATTGTTTCGAAATTTGATTTGGACTAGGAAACTGTCTAAACTCCTTCCCGATCTTCCGGCCCACGTGCAAATCACTAGGAACTCTTAATTTAAGCACTTTCCGTTCCAATTCCTGAAATTAACACAAAATACCAATTGTGAGTAGAATCGATCAAGTAATACAATATTTGACTAAAATCAAGGAAAAAATAATTATAAATTTAGCAACAAATTATGACTTATCACCCTCCATGATAGATTACTCTACAAAAGATCTTATCTTTTACAGTGGTTATGGTGCATCATTTTGGAGAAAGAAGGGCGTGTTTTTCAAGAAATATATGAAGGGCTTTGTGGAACCCATGTTGGATATAGAATGTTAGTAAAAAAAACCTTGCTGCTCGGATATTTTTGGCCCATAATTCGGCACGATACCCAACTCTTGGTTCTTAGTTGTCCCTCCTATCAGCACCATACCCCTGAACACCACCGGCCTATTAATCTCATGGTTCCCATCACGTCTCCTTGACCCTTTGAACAATAGGGGACGGACATCAACGGCCTTTTCCCTAGGGCTCCTAGCAACTATACTGTCTTAGTAGTAGTCATTGATTATTTCACAAAATGAATTGAATCCAAACCATTGAGAAGTATAGCTGGCGGAACTATCCAAAAATTCTTTTGAAAATATATTGTTTGCCATTACGGAGTGCCTGGCATGGTCATTTCGGATAACAGTAGGCAATTCATGGATAACTCGTTTAAAAGGTGGTGTGAGGATCTCGACATCAAACAGCACTTCACCTTAGTAGGACACCCCTAATCCAATGGTCAAGTAGAGAATTTTAACCGAACTCTTTTAAATGGCCTTAAAACTTGGTTACACTAAGTTGGAGTTTCTTGGGTAAATGAGATTCTCAGTGTTCTATGGTCATACGGAACAACCCTGAGGTCGATAATCCAAGAAACTCCCTTTTCCTTAACTTACAGATTCGAGACAGTAGTCTCCGTGAAGTTTGTTACTCCAAGTCCTTAGATAGCAGCCTTTGCTACTGAAACCAATGATGAAGAGAGGAGAGTAGATCTTGACTTCCTCAAGGAATAAAGAGACGTCATAGCTGCTTGAGTGGCCTTGTACAAAAATATGCTTGCTCACTACTACAACACTCGGATCAAACACCTTCGCTTCAAGTCAGGAGATCTCGTTTTGCAGAAGAACTCGATCAGTTGATTCGAAACCCAGGGGAAGTTAACTCCCAAGTAGGAAGGATCGTATTGTGTTGTTAAATCTAGTCAGAATGACTATTATAAATTGGCTTATCAAGATGGCACCCTAATGCCCATAACTTGGCATGCCAGGAATATTAAATTATATCATCCATGAGATTTCAATGGTTCATCCATTTGGGTCTGAATTATTTCATTATTTTTTAACATGTATTTTTTGACCTTTAATATTACTGTTAAAAAATAAAGGGGATAAGAGGGCTCCGCAGCTGATATAATTTAACAGCTTGGTATAATAAATGAAATTATTATTAAAAGTAGCAAAATTTACAAGTTGGGCATTTTCAAGTACAAGAACCCGAAGTCAGAGATATTTCTAAGTATCTTCTGCTTTGGTGTCGTCCCGATCTTCCCCCACTCTGGCGTCTCCACCAGCCTCGGTTGTCTCTCGGTCAGCACTTTTAGGCTTCTCTAATTCAAATTCGAAGAGTCGCTGGTTGAACTCTTCTCGCACTTCGGTCAAGTTTCATCCAACTTGGATGTTCTCGGTTATGCGATCACAGAGTTTTTTGACATTTTCATTATAACTCTCCTTGCTCTTGAACGCGTCCAAGTCTTCCTAGGACAACAGTGGCCCCACCTCGTTCACAGCCGATGTGTACCCGAATATGAAACTCAGTAATGTCGGTTCACCGAGGTCCTTGATAAAGGCATCAGATTTCAAGAAAGCCTCGATGGCCGAGGTGCCAGCCTTCTTGACAGCATCTTGGTGAGACTTCTCCTCTTCGCGTCACCTCTTCTGCTCTTCGTCAAGAGCTGTCCTGAGGGAATTGGCCTCAGTTACTGCCATATCTCACTTAGTTACAACTTGATTGCATTCCTCGCAGAGGCGGGTTTGATCGTGCTTGGCCACCACCAATTTCTTTTCCAATAGGGACACCTTATCCTGGAGCTCGGCAATGGAATGATAGAACTGACGAGCGCGGAGTATACATATAACAATTAATTCATCCACAATCAAGTTTTACATTTATAAATTTTTAAATACCTACACACGATTTTTCGCAAGTATACGAGTCGTTTATTAAGTATAGGGGTATTAGGTGTCAATCTCACAGGGAAGATTGTCAATTACTGATATTTTTCAAATTTTTTTTTTTTTAGACTATCACAAGTACAAGAAATTAAATCTACACTATAAAAGTAACAAAAATACAATAAAAACTCATAGAGGTATGAAATTCCTTACTATTCTTACAAATTACATTACTGGTTAAGTGAATGCTATTATCTTGGCTAGTTATGGCGTAATTTCTGAATGTATATGAAACCTACTTTTGTAGTAAATCAACTATACTTGTAACTAAATCATACCTACTCTCGTGATTATGAAATTAACTACAAACTCATTTCTTTTATAAAATTACATGAAACAAGTCACTAAAACCACATAGCTGTTCCTCTACTTTCATGAGTGAACTCCCTAGATTTATCACTTCCTTGAACTAGTGTTAAATTTCAATTTTCAATGCAAATTTAACATCTTAAGATTATCACAATTAATGACCGGTTAATCATGATTAGAAAAGCAAAATTGATAAATAACTTGCTCAAAATAATATCATCAAATTACTAAATAAACATCACTAATAAGATATAGAAAGTTTATCCATAACTCTAGACATAAACTTTAGCAAAACATGTTAAAACACAAAGCCAAACTTATATTATAGCTAAACATGAAATCCAATACAAGAGTGAAAGTAGAAGAAGAGAAATCACCCTTGTCACATGAGATCAACCTTTGCACTTTTGCTCCTCAATCTTCATCCAAATCTAGCTACATATACAAGAAGAATAAACTACACTACCTATACTATATTACTCTAACTAATGAACAAAGAAAACTCTAGTGAAAGCTACATTTTTTGTGAATTTCTCTAGCCTTCCAAAGTTGTGAAAATGGTCTTTAAAGGTTGCTATTTATAGAAAGATTCAAGCTCAAGG